ATTGTAAACGATAAATTTGAGTACATATATATATATATATATTAAATGTAATTTTGTTGTTGTTTACGGTGTAATTAGCGTTGTCAAATTCAGCCCAAATCCGAAATATATATTTACATACATCATTTGTTGAATTAATCATTCGTTAAATTTCCAAAGTAGCGTAGAAAAAAGAAGTTACGCATATTGATAGTGATCAAACACGCGGAAAATTCAAATCCTCAATTCTTATTCGAAACTTGTGAAATTTGTCGAGATCACTTATATCTGTCACATTAAAACGATTCAAAGAAAGGCTGATAAAAAAAAAAAATTGTATCCAAAAAGAATCTGCATCTCGAGAAAAAGATCAGGAAGTATATTGTATCAATCGGTACCAATCGGTAAGTCAGAAAATCTATCTCAAAGAAGAATGTCTCGAAAACGTCTATCTTTTATGAAAAAAAAAAAAAATAATATTTTAGCAAGATTTGGGATCTAGCAAAATCAAGTATAATTTGTAGGTTACAATCATTGTTACAATCATGACAGTACGCAGTGTGGCGATGTCCTTATCGAGGCGGCCATATTGACGTGACGTCACGAGTTAATTTTCCAATTGGGGAATGCACTCCTGCTGAGATGCGTTCAGAAATAACACCCGAGTGCACCTCGATATCATTTTATCCCTATTTAACACTCGATGAAAAACAAGAATGAAATGATACATTCAATGTTTCTAAACCCAGCACTGGACTGTGCCGGCGTGGCGGAAAGGATGAAGGCGAGGGGAGGAGGGAAGATAATTGTTCGCTTCATGTAAAAGGTTGTCAGCACTGTGTTTAGCATCGTCGAAAATATTTACTACGCGCCGGGAAATGCGTGGCGACGTACGCGTGCCGCCGAATCGGATAGACGAATCGTCCAACAGGTTTTTTTTTTTATTTACGCACATCACACACACACACACACACACACGCGCGCGCGCGCACACAAGTTCGCAGCGAGGCCGAATACGGAGCGGTGCGAGGGAGGAATTCGCATAGAGCTTTGCTGTTAGTCGCCGTGTTCCGCATGTCGCGCGTCTTTTGGTAAACAGAGGAATCTTGCGACGGCGGCGGCGGCGGTGATAAGGACGAAGACAGAAAGGCGAGGATCGTGAGACGAGGGCGTGGAGTCGTCTTTCTCGAGCGAATATAAATGGCACTGCTATATGGCATGTGGGACTCAACGTTGCTCTTGAACACCCTAACCCCAAAATTCTACGTCGCTCTTACCGGCACCTCATCCCTCATCTCCGGCTTGATCCTCATCTTCGAGTGGTGGTACTTTCGAAAGTACGGCACTTCGTTCATCGAGCAGGTGTCTCTGAACCACATCTCGCCCTGGATCGGCGGCGGCGATAACGCCAACGATGGCAACAGTGCAAGCCTCAACGGAGGCTCCGGAGGCTCCTCGAGCCACCAAAACGTACCCGAATGTAAAGTTTGGCGCAACCCAATCAACCTTTTCAGGGGCGCTGAGTATCAGAGATTTTACTGGGCCACCAACAAGGAGCCCCTCACATATTATGACATGAATCTGTCCGCACAGGATCATCAGACGTTCTTTACTTGTGAAGGCGACACAGGTAAAGAATGAGAAGGATCAATCTGGATGCGTTCCTTTATTTTCCTCGAAAAGACTATTTTGACAACAAGCTCATTCTTTATACCTGAACGAGTGTACATTCGTTGTATTTAAAATGAAATAAATCTGCTTGAACTTTGGCAAAGATGAAAAGGAAAATTTTAGTACAGTGCAATGCAGCGATAAAGAACAAGTCTGAAATCTATCTAGCATTGATATGCTAATTTCATAATTTACTTGCTTTAAAACATTAGTAAATTAAAAAGGTATAAAGATGATTAGAGAAAAATGGATCTATTAGAGTTATCAAATTTGTTTTTTTTTTTTATTTTTAAGATAGACAAGACATTGAGATACTGGACTGATCAATGGTTTATTTACAGGTAAAGCGGAATACGAGATTATGCAAACAGCTTGGAGAGAGCGCAATCCAGTAGTAAGAATACAGGCTGCGCACAGCGCACTCGATCGTAATCCTGATTGTGCACCAGCTTATATTCTTCTCGCAGAAGAAGAGGCCACTACTATTGTCGAGGCGGAAAAGATCCTGAAGCAAGCTTTAAAAGTTGCGGAGAATAATTATAGAAAGTCGCAAAATACTCAACATCAGGGTTCCATAGCTGAAGCGATACATAGAAGGGATACAAACGTATTGATCTATATCAAGAGAAGACTAGCGATGTGCGCGAGAAAATTGGGAAAGCTTAAGGAAGCGGTGAAGATGTTTCGTGATCTTACAAAAGAGGTACCACCGATCATGAATGTATTGAACATTCATGAGAACCTGATCGAGACTCTGCTGGAGATGCAGGCGTACGCGGACGTTCAGGCCGTGTTGGCTAAATACGACGATATCAGTCTACCGAAATCGGCGACCATCTGCTATACGGCCGCGTTATTAAAGGCACGATTGGTGGCCGACAAATTTTCACCTGATATCGCTAGCAAACGCGGTCTGACCACGGCCGAGATGTCGGCAGTAGAGGCGATTCATCGAGCGGTGGAATTTAATCCTCACGTACCCAAATATCTCCTGGAAATGAAGCCGCTCATCCTCCCGCCAGAACACGTGCTGAAACGCGGTGACTCTGAGGCGATCGCGTACGCATTCTTCCACTTGGCACATTGGAAGCAGATAGAAGGTGCCCTGAATTTACTTCATTGCACTTGGGAGGGTACGTTTAGGATGTTACCTTATCCGCTTGAACGCGGCCACCTCTTCTATCCATATCCAACGTGCACCGAATGCGCCGATCGTGAACTCTTGCCATCGTTCCACGATGTCAGCGTCTATCCGAAGAAGGAGCTGCCCTTCTTCATCCTCTTCACAGCTGGTCTGTGTTCGTTCACCGCACTCTTGGCTCTGCTAACTCATCAGTATCCGGACACGATGGGCGTAGTCGCTCGCTCGATGCTCGCATGGTTTTCTCATCCGTTTTACTATCTCCTCGACAAGTTGGCTATCTTGCCCTCTAACTTATTGCAACAGCTCTCTAGAATATAAAGATGTATTTCCATACGATCTCCATTAACTTAAGACTTATTGTGATACTCGCGATGTACTTATTGCTTTATTTCTTTTATCTCTGTAAGAGCCTCTACCATGTAAAAGTTCCAATTTGCAATTTGGTCATGACTGATACCGTGATATCTTTTAGTGACTACTGTATTTATCTATACTGTTAAGTTCATTGAAACTACGATGATGAATATATTAATAATAATAATAAAAATTTTAAACAGTAATGTCTTCGTTATATATAATGTACGTATAAATTAATAATTAATATATATGTAGAAAATACGAAGTAATTATATACAGTTGTATAAATTCATATAATGTATATAATATATATTATATATAATATACGATATGTACTACATATATGTGTGTGTGTGTGTGTGTGTGTGTGTATATTATATACTCTATATATTATATATATTGTCAAGAGATCGCTACATCACACCTATTGATACGCAGTCAAT